TTTCCCTAGTTATCCGGTTAATTAAACAGGATTTTACATCCTTGACATATGGACATGTTTACTCAGCCTGCAATGCTGGCAGAAACACATCAGTCTTTGGCCAGCTGGTGTGAAACTTACAGAAAATGTGCAGTTGACAAATAACACTGATAAGCTATAAGGGTGGGTCTGCACTGCACCCTTACCTCGACATGAGCTACATCATTTGCTCTACGCAAATTGCATAGCTCATTTCAAAGTAATTTAGAAATAAAGTGGTATTCTGAAATGTTCCTTAATCCACGTGAAAGGAAGTTTCCAGGGACATTGGAATAGCAAACCTATTATATTTCCAAATAACAGGTATGCTCAAAAGATGTGGAATAGCTATTTTGGGATACTTCTGGTATCCCGAAATAGCTCTGCGGCATAGACGTAGCCTAACAGAGAAATTTTCTTTTGTTTCTTATTAAATGTTAACTTAATTCATGGAAATTTAAGGATGCATGGAACACTCAACATAAATATGAAAGTTAAGGTTTGACAAACTTAACTCTTCCCTTTTACATATATGGATTACAATTAGCACAATGTATTAGAATAATCTCCTATCTCTAGAACTGTAGGAAGTGCAGCAAGGTATTGTATAATAAAATGGCGTAATTAACTGTTATTAGAATGATGACAGAATTGAGGTAGCGAATTCAGCAGTAGCTTATGATTGACTTTTGACTGCTTAATTGTTCAAAATTAATGTTGCCATTATATTTAATATAAACAAGGTGTAGAAGGTTTGCTGAACACCTGCTACATATCTTGGCAGAAACTACTTGGCGACACCCTATAAGAATTATGAAGTTTCCCCGCAGACACACACATCTCTCACATGCACAGAGATCCACACCACAAAAAGGATACTTTCTGGAAAACTGTGCTCTAAATTTGTTTCATATCTGAAATATATATGAATGTGGCTTTCAGTCTAGTTTCTTCCGAGCAATGACTTTCCCTTCTATAGAATTATCTTTCTTAGTCGCCAAGTTTCAGCACTATGGTGAATAGCTCAATATTGGCATGTTATTTTTCCATATCCCAACACCATTTTTCCTTGAAATGTGTGTCTAGTGGAAGTTAACGCAATTCTCAAAAGAGCGCTGTGTATAAATTACACAGATTCTTGAACCATCTTTAATTAAATAAGAGAAATACTGTTTTGACAAAGCAAAAAGTGTTTTCCAGATTCCTCTATCTTAAAGATATTCTTCTGATCCATGCTATACAATCTGTACTTGAGTCCTTTCATGCATCTTTGCAAACCAGCAAGGTGCCAAGGTTGCTGTAATATCGTAGCACTGTGCATTCTTGACCATCAGCATAAATCGGGAGCTGGCAAGATAACTTCAGGGCAGCTGAAATGAAGCTGTGGAGAGAAGGAGGTGGTTATGTGCTAAATGCCACACATAGTGGTCACTCTCAGGACTAACCAGCACACAGCGCTATCTTGCCTCGTTTAAAAAGAGAGCTTGTCTCTATAGACAAGCATCTGATTCCACTTTTTTACTTCCTCTTAAAACAGACGCCGAGTGGGGAAGGAAGTCCTCTACAGAGCCAGGTAATCTGAGAAATTGGATCCAATAAGTTGCTTTGGTGTCCAAGGCAGACGCCAAATGGAACTCTGGATGCTTTTCTCCCTGGTAACATCTGATTTTTTTTTTAATCTGTCAATTAAGTGCTTGACATGGGAGAAGGGGTAAGTCAGTTTGCTGGCGGTAATGGGATAGTTCAGGTTGCTGCCCTGAGTCCTGAGGTGGGTACTTGAGCTGCTGATTGGATTACTTTGTAGGAATTGGTAATGTCAGGCTGCAGGGTGGGAGGAATGATGTTTGAAAATACTGTGGACTGAAATAGCAGGCAAAGATTGGGGGAGTGAAATCAGAGATTCGTTATTTCTCAGGGAAATTGTCCTCAAATTGTCCTCCATCAGCTGACAGTTCTAGGTAACATCTGGCAATTCAGACAAACGAGAAAATGCAAGTTGTTAAAAATCAAACTACATTTGAACAATACAAATAAAATCCATTTAATGAAATTTACCTACAATTGGCGCTCCAAATCCAGTGCTTTCCCCCTTGATTTCAATGCAGAATGAGTTTCTTCCTGTCCTAATTTCTCTTACTTCCTGCCTATTAGCAGGAAAATGGCAGCCACCATGGAATAAGCTCAGAGACATCCACAGCCATAGAAAAGTTGAAACTTCAAGAGGTATTTCTTAAACAATGTTATTTTAAACTTTTTATATATTCTTTTTTGGTCTATTTATCTACCTGTGCAATGTTTGTAGGAAAGCACTGGAGTTTTCCTTTATTATTAATAACAATTAATAATAAATATTTAGCACTCATTTAGCACTTTACATCTGTAATGCCTTTTACAAACATTAACTAATATTAACTGTAAGAGGTTTTCTCCAAACCTGGTCCTGTCTCCCTTGTATGATTCAGCTAAACTGGTTTTTGCTTTCTCAAATGGACCTTTTTTTTTTTTTTTTTTTTTAGTACATAGCTTATCCGGGAATGGACTCTATACAAATTGGCAGGCAGCAAGTCCGATAAACAAACAGAAATATGACTGTATTACTCTCACTGTAGACTTTCCACTTGATCTGCTTAGTGTAGGATAGATGATGGTTTTAATTCTAACACACAAGGAGTTGTGTGGTTTATCTGTAATAGAACTGATGCCCAGATATTCCCACTACGTTCATATACAAGCTTGCTGTCACTTGATATTGAATTATTGGTGATAGAGCTTTTTACTTTCATACTCTACTGCTCAGGAACACACACAGACTTTACCTCCAACAGGTTGATTTGTTGTTGGAATCTTGATTTAATGACTTATTTGTTTCCAGTAGCATTTTGCTAAATGAAACCTACACCTATTGAGAAATCCCTTTTAATGTAATGAAATTCCTCCCCCCCCCCCAACCCGGTCATTTGTCATATAGGAGTCTTTCTCTAGTGAGGCCAGTGAAATTCCATATATCACATCAATCCATATTTGTGTAACTGTTTTTAAAACTATATTAGGCACCGATCCTGCAAGTTACTGAATGTTCTGTTTGGTGCAGAGTACCCACAGCTTCCACTGAAATAAAGTCAGTGGAAGATCAGGAGTACTTAGCACCTCCCAAGACTGACCCTTTGAGCTTGAGCAAATGCTTACTGAAGTTAGTACACTCCTTTCAAATAACTTCAGTGGGCTTAGGATCAAACAGCTAGGGAGATCTACATAAAATTCTACACATGACCCTCTATTGTATTGCCACTTTCACTTATTTTAAGATACTATATTGTAATTGCAGTGCAGTAATTATGTTATCTTAACAAAATCTGCTTTCCAGTGAAATAGCTGCCTAAAAAGTAAAGCACTCATTCCTGATATGACAGAGAGCCAAAATTCCCATTCCCCAGAACACTTACTGGATTACTAAAATCTCCTAAGGGAGCTGTGGTATTAACCATGTGTCTCAGTTATTAGTTAGTCACTGCGCAGTCTTGAATTTGTTACTTTCATCCGCCTGGTCTAGTCACTCTGATATTTCTGGTTTTTTCTATCCTCCATTGGCGAGCAATGTGTTTAGATAAAAAAAAACTTATGTTCCTTTTTGGCAAAGATTCAACTGCTTTAATGCATATGCTGCTGCTGCTATGATCAGCCTTGCACAATTGTCAAAAACATTATAGCCCAAGCACAAAATCTGCTTGCCTATCCTCTGCTAAGATGATGATGATGATGATGAGAGATGGGGAGGGAGGTTTTTCTCATCTGTTAAATTATTTCCTGGGGGTGAATGGGCAAGTAGAATTTTGCAAGGCTGATGTGTATAGTTATTTTAGTATAGAATGTTGTTGTTTTTACCCTACATTAATCTTGTTATGTAGTAATAACTGGAGTATGACACCATAACAGAGACCAAGATATCTCGTGCAAACAGAGTACACAGTAGGGATATTAAAATACACGTTTACTCAAATAAATGTAACTACTGAATTTTTTTGAAGTTATACTTTTACACTCAGAGGGAGCTGGTGAGCACTGCCTCTTGCCTGCCTCACCCATCCCCCCGCTGCTGCCTTTGATTCAGAGGCAGCAGCACAGGGGGCAGGCGGCCCGTGGGAGCTGGTATGCGTGGGAAGCCAGCTTGAAAGCCGGCTTCCTACATGTACCAGTTCCCACCTGCTCCCCACTCCACCCCCCACACTGCTGCCTCTGTGGGAGATACTGGGAAGGGGGAAGAAGGCATCTCGACCGAAGTTGGCATGCTCAGGGAGCCAGCTTAAAAGACAACTTCCATGCGCCTACTGGCTCCTGCCTGTACCCCCCACTTTGCTGCCTCTGGCAGGTGCTTCCGTGGAAGACAGTGTACATGGGAAGTCAGCTTATAAGCCAGTTTCCCTCATGTGCCAGCTCCTTTTGAGTCCCTACACCCTGCTAACCTCTCCATCCTATAGCCCTTTTCCCCTCCCCCACTCTTGCTGCCTCTGATAGAGAGGCAGCAGCACAAGGGGCAGGTGGCCCCATGAGAGCAGATACTCACGAGTAGCTGGCTTCTCCCAAGCACTGGTTCCCACATGCCCCTCCCCCATGCTCCTACTTCTGCAGAGGGGGAGGCAGCTCTGGAAGAGACTGCTCCCCACACATACCAGCTCCTGCTTCCCTCTCCCCACCTCTGACACAAAGGCGGCAGGGGTATATATGTGTAACTGTGATGGTTAACTGATAAGCCCCGACTTATCAGTTAACCATGTTCACAGATGCTTGTTAACATTCTCAGTACACAGTAGGTTACTTATCGGTTACTCTACTGTTCTATAGAGTAACCAAGAAGCAAAAGCTTCTAGGTTAATGCTATAGACCAGGGGGCTCCAAACTTTTCTGCCCGAGGGCCTCATTAACTATCAAACAGCAGTTCGGGGGCTGACTACACACTTGAGGTCCAAATAAAAAACAATCAAAACATGGATGTTGTTTTTAATTATTTATTTAATATTATTTTATTCAGTTATTATTTAATAACACATTGATACACTACACATGAACACCTGTATTAGTGTGAATGGTGAAATTGTTTCCTGGATGCCAAAATAGCAGACATTTCTGGCTTTAGATTTGTTGTCCCTAACATCAACAGTGACCTGAGATTATCATCGGACAAGTTTGTTCTCAAATTGTTCTTCACATATTTCAGACGTGGGGAACTCAGCTGTTGCTTCAGCCATGAAGACCTTGCACTGCTGAAAGTGCGTCAAGTTGTTGGCCTGTACTTGTTCCAAAAACAAATTAGCAGCATGCCAGGCACATGCTATGGGGCACTGCATTAATGCACTGGGGAAAACTCACCCTTCAGGCCAGCGAGAAGAAATCCAGAGAGTGAGAAAAATACTTAAAAGGAGCAAGGGACAAATGAAGCATTAAAAATTAACATTTTTCCTCACCTAGAAGCTGATTTTAGGCACTAGATCTGGTGTTTTAGGAGAGATCTGAAAGAATTTAATATCGATTTAAATCAGGGGTCACCTTTTTAAAGTTCC